GGGGGGGGGCGGCACGCGCGGGTGAGTCTCAGCTGGGGCAGGGGTCCAAGTGGTCCCCCCAGGGTGACTTGCTTTGGGAGCGGTGCTGCACACCTGACTCCCCGGAGAGCCAGCGTGTCCCGGAGCTATGGATCCACTCGTGTGTTGAGCTCAGTTAAAATCTCCTGCGTGTTCTTCTGTGCCCCCGCATAAACCCTCAGCCGCATCCCGCACTGGCGTGGGTATGTTGCCTCCTTGAGCCCTGGGCAGGTCGGCTGGCAGTGATCTCCGCGCCCCAGGGAATGGCGTGAGCTGGAGTCAAACACTGAAGCAGGAGCGACCAGCCTGCAGCAGTTGCAGGCGGCAGAAATGTGGCTGGAGCAGCAGGATGTAAAGGAGATGGGGTCGTTACCAGCCCTGAAGAGTTTGGAAGGAAGCAGGGAGGTGATTGTGAGCTGTGGAAGCGAGGGGTGCAGCTGCCCACGTAGAAATGCTGCTGCCACTGCCTGGCAATTGGTGTTCAACTTTGGGTAGAGCAGGAATCAAAAACTGCACCTGTCTGGACGGTTCTCCAGACCTTGCGTGACTTGGGCGCAGAGCAGGGGTGCCAGAGCTGGTGTCTCACATGTCTCTTCCTTCCCTCACCCCAGGTGCGCTGTGAGCTGACAGGGCACGAGCTGCCCTGCCGGCTGCCCGAGCTGCAAGCCTACACCAGCGGCAAGAGGTACCTGCGCCTGAGTGGGACCCCTGGTGCCTTCAACTACAGTGACTTCGAACCCCACATTGTGCCTAGCACCAAGAACCCGTGCGTAACTCTGTGCTCATGGCTGGGGCAGGGAGGAGGCCTCGGTGCTTTGGAGGGAAGCTGCTTGCTGGGCTGGGAAAGCTTTTGCAATGCAGCTTTGCTGGCTGTTACCTTAGAGCAGGGGCATCAAACTTGCACAGGCCTCGGGGCAGCTTTGAACTGTGTGGGCTCCCCCGGGTCCAGCAGGGCAGGTCTGCGTTCAGGCAGCAGAGTGGGTCAGGGGATCGAGTAGCAGCAGAGTGGGTCCAGGGATGGCCAGCAGCCAGGCAAGTAAGGGTGGTGTCTGCATAGCCCTCTCTCTCCCCTGTTGCTGGTGGGCATGTCCAATGGGGGCCTAAGCACCCCAAATTCTGTGGCAGGACATGCTCTACTGCCCACACCGGTTGTCTGCTGGATGACCAGCAAGCTGGCTGGAACAGTTCCATAGGCCATGTTTTGACACCCCTGACTTAGACCACCCACCCGGGAGCACTGCTTCAGGCAAGGACTCTTGCAGGTGATGTCTGTTATTGGGCCAGCTGCTTGGTTGGGACAGGCTTAGACCAGCTTTCAGCTACCACAGTGTCCTCCTTCGGGTCTCCATCTGCTTCTCTCTCAGAGGCCCAAGATCTGTGATACCCCAAAAGCTCGTCTAAATCTATCCCCACTGTAAAAGAACAGTAAAAGAGAGAACCCACAAGAGTCTGAGCCTCTTGCATGTTTTTTGGACCGTCACGGCTACAACATTGTTTCATTATGCAGAAGTGGACTATTCCATTTGCTGACTTTGCTGTGCTCACATCCATGTCTCTCTTCTTGTAGACACCAGCTGTTTTGCAAGCTGACGCTCAGGCACATCAACAGGGTCCCAGAGCACGTGCTGCGTCATGTCCAAGGAAAGCGCTATCAGAAGGCACTGAGAAAATGTAAGTGGTGCTAGTGCTTTCTGCAACATCTTTCTTGATCTGTACTTGTGGTGCCCAGCCTGGCAGGTGGGAAGTGTTGGGGAAGCTCTCAACAACTTGCCAGTAACAGAGCAGTGCGCCTGCCTGCTGTTTGCAGTTTTTTTCTCTAGTTGGCAAAGCAGTGTCTTTGCTGTAGAGCAGAGGTTCTCAAACCTTTTTGTACTGCAGCTAATGCTTAAATACAGAAGTTGTGTGGTGGATGGTCGTCTTCCTATGGCATCCTGTGGTATCTTTGGCATTAACACTGAACATACAATTATGGGAATGCCTAATATTTTAACTCCCTGTCAATACAGTTTAGCAGCTGGAGAAGCCAGCCCTGAGGGATTTGCCAGCTCTCTGCATGTGCCAGCTTGAGCACCTGATGTTCAGCCACCAACTAGTGGAAATTTGGAAGGTGGCTTATATCTGTGGGGACTTGATACGAGTCAAGATGAGCCTGGCAATGTTGTTTTATCAGTAAAGGGACTGAAGCTTGCAGGTTCGTGGTGGCAGTGTTTGGCCCAATTCAGTAGCGACTGAATGCCAGTCCTACCTGATCGCTGCTTGTTGGCCTGCGTGTAGTGAGCTTGGTGATTCCTGGGAACAAGTGTTTGCTTTGTAAAAGCCAGCACCCCGTACCATGGGAGGTGTTTGTGTTTGCATCCCAGAAGCTAGGTTTGAATGGAACACGGAGACTGAACTGCACTGCTGCTGATAGAGGTATGTCCTGGTCAGAGTAGGAGCAGGGTGTGTGGGGAAACTGCAGTGCTGGACTTCTCTGGACAGAATAGACTGAAGTCTCTGGGGATGTTTGGCTCTTGCAAAAGGTGTCAGGCTCAGTGCACACCCTTGCTGTGGTTTCTGCTGGGGCCAGGGCAGCAAGATAGAAGTGCACACTCCCATTTTGTATCTGTTGGCTTTGGTGTCTCCCTAGGTCTTTGCAGGGGCATGGTCTGTGACAGGTGCAGTTGCCATTCATACTGCACTGAATAGCTACCCAGGACCTTGCTCTACCTCTGGTTCACTATCTTCCTCTATTAGGCCAGCAAGCAGCTGAATTGCTTGCATTTCTGTGTGTGAACCTAGCTGACTCACCCTGTTCTGCTCCCTAACTAGATGAGGAGTGCCAGAAGGAGGGCACGGAGTATGTGCCTGCTTGCCTGCTGCAGAAGAAGCGGCAGCGGCAGCATGATGACCAGCCGAAGGGGAGCAAGCCACCTTGCAAGAGGGAGGATTTCTGGGAGCCTGCATCCAGCAATGAGGATGAGGAGGACAGTGACGACAGCATGAGCGACCTGTACCCACGTGAGCAAAGCTTTGGCGTTTCCGAATATTGTAAAGGGACCCCCTCTCCTCCCTCGGTCCTTCCTGGCACTCATTAGAAAGGCAAGTCTGTTTCAAGTGCAGGGGGGCTGGACCCGATGACCAGCCCCTAACATCTATGAATCCCCATTACCAGCGTAGGGAATGGAATGAGGAGAGGACTCCTTGGTCGTGCGTAGAAACGGGCAAGACTGTATGGAAAGAGGCAGAACTTTGCTACTTTGAAAGAACAGCAGCAGCAGTGGGCCAGGATGGCAGTTTTATTGATGCCTGGCCAGCGGGGAGCCCACGCATTAGAGGATCATGGGCTGAATTACTAAGAGTGCTGGGCCCATTGCTACTGACGTGCTGTCAGCTTATTTGCCTTCCAGGTGTTTCAGTAGTAACATACCAGTTGGTCACTGAAGGCCTTTGGTGATAGAGGTTGGAGCGTAATGCTTCAGCTTGGTCCGTCACCCCATTAGGATGTTCCTGAAGCCTGTTAGGATGTCTCTGAAGTGGAGTGAGAGCAGGTACCTGTGTGAAGCAGAATCTGGCCCCATCTGGGTCTTGCCTTGTGTTTTAGCTGAGCTTTTCCCAAAAAAAAGCCCAGCAGCTGCAGGACATGGGGAAGACAGCGATGACTTTATGACGGACAGTGAGGAAGACAAGGCCAAGCCGGCTGGGGAAAATGGGGATGTGAATGGGGAGGAGAGCGAGAAAATGGACCTGGATGGACAAGGCAGCAAAAGGGGAAAGGTGAGTGCTGCACTGCTGTGGACAGCAGTGTCCTGGGGGTGAGCTTGGGACATTAGGTGAACCTCTGTATGGGAGCATAGAAATGGTATCCTGTATGTTCAGACCCATAGTCCATCTGCTCTGCTGACCTGTGGGAGGGGCAAGTGAAAGCCTAAAATTTTCTTGCATGGAAGTGTCTAACAGTGAGCAGCTGGCATAGACCATAAGCCTACCATTTCTTGGTAGACATTCATCTTTCTGAGGCTCTTTGTTCCTGTCTGTGTAATTATCAGATCTCCATATGAGCCCTCCTACACTTTGCTTTGGAAAGCAAGGGGATTAGGCTGTAAAATCTCTTCCCTGCATTAATCAAATCCCTTGACATAGGGTTAGTATATTCGCTCTTATTTCCCCAGCTCCCTTCAGCAAGTACCCAGATGCTGTACAGTGGATCTCCTCAGAGTACATCTCTGTCCTGATCCTGCACATCTCTGCATCCAAATCCCTGCTGTGTGTCTGGGAAACAGCTGGACTTCATGGCCCCTGTATATAGCAGGTGTAAGAATTTTAGAGAAATCCTTGCTGATAAGTCCAACTCTAAAAGAAAGTCCTGAGCAGAGAAAATAGATTCCTTGCTGTTAGGAACATGCCAGTCTTGGGAGATCAGAATCTGCGGTAGTTTGATTCACATTTGCAGCCAGGTTGGCAGTACAGGAAAGCTTCGCTGCTTGCAGGTTTGGCATTCGTGGTTTCAAATATTCGTGAATGCCGAAACCGCATTTTAAATACACTTTATACACTTACAGGCGCTCCTCGGTAGCTGTGTGCTTGCTGCCAACAGGCTCCCACTGGAGCTGTGCCTCCCAGCCCCACCGCACATGAATGCAGTGCCTTATTTGCGGATTTCGCCATTTGCAGGGGATACGAAAACGTATCCCCTGTGAATGGGGAGAGTCGCCTGTATTGCCATTTAACATGATGACAAAGTGGAGGAAGGGTACATTAGCTTGCTGATTTGTAGGCAGGGGTTGAGGTAAGGGAATGCCTTGTCTTTGGCTGCACCCACGTTCTCTGCAACAAGATCGTGTTGACACCCAACCTAAAGACAGTGAAGTCTGGTGGGGCCCAGGTGTTTGCTTTCTGGTCCTGGCTATGCACCATTTCATGGCAGCCCAGAAGGACAAAGAATTTCTTGAAAAGTGAGTGAACTATTTTTTTCACAGAAACAATCGGGTGCTTTGAAGAAGAAATTTAAGAGTCGCCATCGAAAACCCAAGAGCTTCAAGAAAGCAGCCAATGGCAAATAAAGTTATGTAAATGAGAAACACGCTGTAGGTCTAGCTGGTTATTGTGGAGCAGTGCCAGCATTCATCCCCTAGATGGGCAGAATGGAGTGTGACAAAGGTATGTTGTCTGCATTGTAAGGTTGCATTTATTTCTGATAGAGTAAAATGAAGCAACCAGGTTGGTGGGCATGCTTATTATAATGACACTTTGACTCAAGAGACACCAATGGAGTCCTCACTCCTGCAACCATGAGGTACCTTATGTGGCTATGGTACATCCTCCTCTCTGACTTTGCTGACCTGGTTTTTAGTAAGTGGAACAAATGAAGCACAGGAAACACTTACTGCTGTCTGTCCTCTTGGAAAATACCAAACAGTGTCCAAGTACATCCTCGAAGGGTCAGTCACTAACCATGCGCTCAAAGTGGATACAACAAAGATGCCATTGTTTTATTTTGATTGTTTCCAAAAATCAAAACATTTTCAAACACAACTAAGGTACAAAATACATCATAAAATGGGAATTTATACTTATTTTCTTTTTTCCACATAGAAAGCAACAAATATATTCAAAATGGATTCCAGAACATTTTGCAAAAGCCAATCAGTAGAAATCCTGCTTTTGAATAGGAGGCTTTTTCATCATTCTGACCAATAATGAAATCACCATCAGTTTGGGGAGATGTCTGGGTACAGCAGCATCTGTAGCTCTGTTGCAGAGGACTCTTGCTAAAAGGCTATGGCTAGTTTTGTGCTGTCTTGAAGAGCAGCATCTTTTTTAAAAAAACAAAAACCCTTCACTTAGTACTGAGTGATGATACTGTACTTGCAAAATCCCTGCTGCAAAGGCTACTGATAGTTACCTTTCTTAAAAGGGGAAAATTCTTTTTGGGGTGCCTGGCTATTGCAGAGCTACAGGCAGTCTCTTTGATGAGAGGACTTTATTTTCACAGATCAGTTAGTGTCTGACTGAACCACTTCTCTTCCAAAGCAATCAAACTCCTTTAGCTTGGAAGAACAGGAAGAATCGGAGGTAAAAAGCTAACTAAGGGTAATAAGAAACCTGGCTTCTATCTATTTAATGTATAAATACAAGAATCATCCACAGCAGTTAAGAGTGTTGGGAAGGGTCTGTATCTCAGGAGCCTGTCGTGTTTGTGTATGCTGACCATCAGCACAGGAGAGGTTGTACCTGCAGTGTGGCAGAATGCCCTGGTTTCCCTTGCAATGAAGACACAGGCAGTGTGAAAGCAGTGGGGGGAGAAAAGTCTCTTGCAAATTCCAGGAAATAAGGCAGTGGTGGGTTAACATACCATTTGATTTTAAAAGAGCTTAAGAAGAAATGTCTTCATGGTTAGATAAAGCTCTGCTGCTGAAGGCCAGTCTTCCGTAACACCCTGATGGCATTAGCTAAATGTTTGTGAAAGCTTTTCCATTTGTCATCAGATGTGGGGAGTAGTTCTGTTTTCCAAACTAAAGCTGTTTAAGTTGCACTGTCCAGGTCAACACTTCCATGCGCTGTATGTTCCTGTTAGCTATATGGGAATTGCATGTAGATACTCAAGTAGCAGTTCTTTGGTTTCTTGGTCCAGCTACTCCCCTATGTACCTTACCTGGCTACTAGTTAATGGGAGATCATGGATTTAGTACCTCACTGAATCTTAACGGGAATCAACATACTTGGCTAGCAGAGGATGAAACACTGCTTCTTTGCAGGGTTTCTAGATACGTACACAGGAGGTGTAGGCTACACCAGTGAAAGACAAAATATGTTCCTTCTTTCTTCTCAGCCCATTAAACTGGAGGACTATCCCTTCTCCCTTTCGCTGAAACTACCAGAACGTAAGAAGGACTAAGTTACCACTCTTTGCTAATCAGATGCTATGAAATTCTAGTCTGCTGCTGTCAGAAGCAAGGCAGACTGAGAACAGAGACTCAAAGGGACAAGGTATCACAGGGCTAATAGCTGGGCAGTATTTAGGACTAGATCAACAGAGCTGTGGCAGGAAAACTTTCCCTGTGCCCACAAATACGTGCAGAAATGCCACAGCCCGGCCCCTCTTCAGAAGTCTACAACCTGACACTGCAAGTTAAGGTTTTAAAAGCCTTTGCAAGAGACACTGACAAAAATACATCAGGGGAGAGACGGGGACCGATAGCCTAGAAGCACAGACACTGCTCCTAACCTGCACACACTGCAAAACACTGTTTCAGAGCTTTCAGCTGAGTGCACGGAAAGGGGTCATCATCCTACAGATTGTTTACAACAATAACAGCTAAGGTTGAAGGTAATATTTAGAGGGAAAAAAACTGAAGTCAAAGCTGGGTTGTAGATGATGGAAGAGTCTCTTGGGAAGAGCAGTATAGCTTTGCTCCTCTGACACAGGGAAAAAAAAAAACACTGAATGGGATTGATGTTGGCACAGCACTTCAGTAACTTGAAATGATACTCCCCAAACTCCCTTATTGAACTCATATAAGCAATTCAGCTTCTTTACCTCTTTTGTCCCCTTAAGAAAGTGATATCTTCCATCTTCCTTAAAGGAAAAAACCTTTTCCTTTCCTCATCTAGTGAAAAATGCCTAGAGCTGGGCTTTGCTTTTTCCCTTCATGCGGTTTGGCTGTGGAAACGGTATATAATACTGTATTGTTGTTTTTCATAATAATTTCTCTTGAAGTAAGTTTTCACTAAAACAAACCATGCTAAAGCCAACTGCTGGCATTTCTGATGGGACAGGCTTTTGAGTTCTGATGAGGGAATTAACTCGTTTGGCTGTAGCTAAAATATAAGTGAGGATTAACCCAACAGCACACTGAATGAGTGATACGGTTGCCTCTGCTCACAGTACTTTAAATTTAAAAAGCTGTTACTGGCAGAAGGGGCAGTGACTCTTCTATTGCAACACTGAAATACTCAGAACTGCAGGTTCCTTGGGTTAATTCCAATTCTAAGAAGTTAAAACGACAAACCTTAGCCATGTCCCTCCAAGAAACAGGATGTGTGTGTTATTGTACTGGTGCCACTAAATTAGATTCTCAAAACATCTGTGCCTTTAACAGGGGAAGGGGGCCATTACGTGTAAAGTGTTGGCAGTTCTTGTTGAATCCATAGAGAATTAGTCCTGGACTTAAGGTGTCATGTCCTAAGAAGTGCTGGTGTTCCTGTTACCACTCTTTTTTCTTCTCATCCATGGAGACACCCCCTGGACCAAGGGCCACCACCAGGAGGAGCCCTCCAATGACAGACATGGTCTGGAAGAAGTCGTATTTGAGGAAATCATGCATGGGCTTGTAGACGGGAATGGTCCAGAAGGCATTGAAGTAGATGTTGATGGCAAACAGCCAGATGACCAGAGTCAAGGCAGCCAGCTTTGTCTTAAAGCCAATTGCCACCAAGATGATCAGGGCTGTGCCCACGATGTTCTGCAAGATCTGCAGTAGCACAGAGAAGAGAACTCAGAGTTAACGGACAGATCTTAGCAATCTGTGGGTACAGGAGGTGGAGGTGTAGTCACTCTAGCAGATCTGGGGTAAATGCAATTAAAACAGGTGCCTGTGACTTAAGATGATAAGCACCAGCCTATTAGTCATTAGATTTTAGCTCAAGGTCTTTTGGGGCTGCTCTGTGTTACCTTTAGCCATGCACTTGGCTGCAGTGATACAGTGGCATGATTGTGAGCACTGGATGCTAGGGGCAGAATTTAGCTCTGGGTATCCCTTCTTCCATCCCCAAGGTAGTTATTTGGGTACTGCTCACCTGCAGATTGATGTTGTAACCCAAACTGTTTATGTGTTGTGGTGTCACAGCTACAGCTTAAAGGCAAGCCTGGAGAAGCAAATCTTACTGCTTGAAACCAGGAAATACTAGTGCAAAGAAAACTAATACTTTCCTTTATTTGCCTCTAGCTTAATAGCTCTGAGTGCTTTATGAGCTCAAATGATCCTAACACTCCTGAGATGCTAACAGTTTTCCTGTGTCCAAGGTACAGCCATATAGCTTTATTTAAGGAGTCCCAGCAAAAATCAACAAGGACTAGCACAAACATTCATGGAGCAGGCTCCAGGGCTACTCAGAAAGCAGCAGACCCCAATGCTTTGACACTGTCCGGTATCCAAATACTTACAGAAAAGAAGCTGGAATCAAAATGGAGCAGTGTCATGAACATAAGAACTAGCAGCACACGTCCACCCAGCTGCATGTACTGTTTAGGAGAGCTTTCCCGCATAGTAGGGACACCAGCAAACATGCTCTTCCCCTCTGAGCGTGACTCAGCCAAAAGCAGCAGCAAACCTCCCCCCAGTGCAAGGTTCCTGGAGAGAAAAGGGGAGACAAAAGATTTCCACGTCAGTGCAAGCCCCAGGACCATTTATGAGGGGTGTAACAAAGAACTCTAATGCGTAAGAAACAAAACCGTGGTAGGAATATGTAGTTACAGCAGCTTCTTGAGGCAGACTGCATCAGCAACATTTCTTTTTGGGGTTTTCTGCCTGTTATAGCTAAAGCTGCAGATTTGTAGAAGGTACGATTTCTTCTGTATGCATGGTTACCAAATAACAACACAGACCTACGCAGGCTGAAAATGACTGTCACAAAGAAGCTCCTCCTCTCAGTTTGTGGAAATCCTGCCTGTCGAGCCCAGGAGCCATCACACCAAGGGTAAGGTCCGAATCATGCACATTGGGCATGTTAGACTGCCAAGTGTTCTGGCACAGGTGTTTGGTGGCTGTGCCTTTCCACATCAAATCACATTTTAAGAATTATTCTGGGCTCAAAACTGCAGCAGGAAAATGTAATCCAATCCACTTCCAGCAAGAGAAGCCAAATGTAGGAACTTGGCTAGCTGCTGTCAGCCAGAACTTCTTCACAAGAAGATCCATGCTCAGAGTCCCAACTCTGCCTTCCCCCTTAGGAAATCTGAGAGCCATCATTTGCAAATGATAATTTGAAATGTCAGGGCCATTTTTGGTATCTGCAGTTAAGTTCAGTTGGACAGACATATAGCATCATTCACTTTTAACTTTAAGAAATAAAGTAGATTCCCAGTCCACAAAAAAGTCTCAGCAAAGATATGTGGCCCAGGCAGTCTGTTCCTGATACTTTAGGATTAGTCTCTGCATCTTGTACAACATGTTTTAGGTTTTGCTTCTGACTTCTTAAAGTTGTTTGCTCGCTTACTACTTCATACCAATGGGCTCCTCAGAAAATCGCTACCTACTGGGTAAGTTTTTACTGTATACAGAGGTGATGTGTATAAAGAAATCTGGATTTCCTTCTTCCTGGAGAATGCTTCTAGAGAAGAGAACAGACACTGTTTACACAAACACAGAAAACCTAAGACCTACCTCATCAAAAACTTCAGATCCCATAGTATGCTGTATGCAATGGTCTAGGCAAAAGAACACAAGTAGTTAGATGCTGTGTTATGGAAACGTTACCATCTCCTTACCAGACAAAAGCTTTAAAAAACGTTGAAGTCCATGAGATAAAAAGCACAATGCAGAGACCAGCAGCATCTTGAAATGGTACTTACTTGGTCAAGCAGGCCACTTTGAATGAGAACCATGAGCAATTTTTATTAGAATCTGTTTTAGGTGTACAAGACCAAGACCACTTGTTAACAGACATGCTTAATACAGCACACTAAAATCTGTGAATCTCAAAGCCCTCTGCAGACAGCAAAGCCTCGACAAGCTGCTGTGGAGTCAAGTGTACGTACCATGCTGCTGCAGGGCAGAAAAGTTAAATTTCATGCCTGTGGTCAGACCAAGTCAGTGACAAAGTTGTGACCACAGTCTTGTGCTTTAGCCAAAGCCAAGTTAGAATGAGATCTTTTTCAACTAAATAGGATGTTTTATATTAATAGGCTTGTGGGAAGCGCTGTGGGGTCAGAACCAGAGCAACTGTAGCTCCCTGATTCAACAGGTTGATTAAAACTTAAAAGGTAATTTAAAAGGGTGACCTACTCTGGCTAAATGGAACTTAGATACTTCCAGCTGCATTTACACCCAAGAAGAAGATCTTGCTGTAGGACACTTCTGTCTGGGTTGGTATGAAAGATTATAGCACGCAGAAGAGAAGGAGCAGGCTCACTGGGGAGAATTCTTGAGAGTGGCTTTAAGTTACATTAGAGGTGCCACCGATACATTCGTCCATACTGTATCGGCATTGATAGAAAGGAAAATTGACATTATCAGCCATCGGCCTTTTTTGGCCAATGGCTGATAATGTCACTGATAAATGCAATAGCATGCAGGTGGCCAGGAAAGCAGCCTGGAGAGCAGTGTCCAGCTGATAAGTCTGTGCAGGAGAAGGGGCATGGGCCAGATAGAGGCCTCCATGGTGAGGGAGAGAGTGGGGCAGGGGCCGTTGCTGCTCAGCTGGGGCAGGGTGCGGGACAGAGCTGTGGGTGGCTTGTCAGGAGGGAAGGGGCAGCTCTTACTACTGTGTGCACCCCCAGGGAGGCATGGGGGGCACGTGCACCCTGGATTTATGCACCAGGTGAGGGCAGGTTGCTCACTGCAGGCTTGGAGCCAGAGGCTGCACCAGCCTCTTCCAGGTTAGGGGGCCTGGGCTGGGGCTGCAGGCAGTACCAGTGCTGGGAGGGGTGGCTACGGGGTGGGTTACAGCCACCCCAAAATTCGCTGTAGCCCCTCCTCTCAGCACCACTACCTGCCCCAAGCACAGCCCTGTCCCAGCCCCTCTGCTGGGATGAGGCTGGTGCAGCCCCCAGCCCCAAACCCGCAGTGGGCAACCTGCCCTTGCCTCGCACGCAGATCTGGGGGAGGTGCATGTGGCAGCAGTGGGAGCAACCCCTCTGCGCCCCCTGGATGAGTCGCCCACAGCTTCATCCTGCACCCTACTCCATTCCCTCCCTCAGCTCTATATGCCCTACCCCCCGCCCCAGACTTAGTGCCAATATGCAGCCTGGCTAGTTGGACTGGTATTGACTAATATGTCTGGTTAATAATCAGCCATCAGTACTGGCCGAAAAAAGTCTTTATTGGGGCATCCATAATTTACATAAATTGTCCTGGTGGGGTTAGAGAAGAAGATCTGAAAGATAAGATTTAGGCTTTTGGAAGAGTTAAGGCCTCCTACCTGTAATGCTATAATTCCAAACAATCCAAAGCAGGCATACTGCACCAAGTTCCTGCTCAGCACCAGGATACAGCCACCTGAAGAAGGAAAATGAATTGTTACTACATTTCCAGCTCATACAGGAAATAGTGGTTGCCCCAAGGTTTTAAATTTAGCAGGTTCAGCATTTCACTCAAGTCGTTATAGAGCTTATTTTAATTTGTTGTTGACTATAGAACGCCTCTGGTATTCTACTAAGGAAATGCAGCAGAGGGTCAGATGTATGCCTAGTTTAATCCTTACCAATGCATTAAAGTGACAGCTCTTATAAATGCTGCAAGAAGTTCAATACAAAGAAAGCCAACTAAGTATTGAACACATCCTGCTTTTCTTGGGGTGAGCAAAAGGTGCATCTACCATCACCACCCAAAACAAACTCAGGCTGTTTCTAGGAGGAGATTATGAAAGGAGACAAAGGAAAAAAATTTTTTTTTTTTTCCAGTCTATACAACACCAAATTGTGACAGCCTAGTGGTTAGATAAATATTGAAGTGGGCTTCCTGCAGTTCGATGATTCAAAGTAGTACGCAAGCTAGGGAGGCAGGCACTGGAGCACACTGGCCTCTGCCTTAACAGCCTTGCAGCCACTTACTCAGCTGTCCGAAGAGATTGATGAACACGAAAATGGAGGCCAGGAAATAGCCACAGTTCCACGTGGCGTCAATGTAATCCCTCTGCTCGCTCCACTGGAACCACATGCGGATGCCATCCTCCAGGAAGGTGCTGATCAGACACAGGCGGGCCACGTGGGGAAGGTACTGCTTCGTCACTCTCAGGAACTGGAGGGGCGCACCGGATAGTGAGCAGAGGAAGGGCAGGAGGAGCATTGATCAGGCAAACAATAACCATGCACTTCTCCAGACTGCGGGCATGTCGCTAGCACATGAATGTGCAGCATCAAGATCATGATTGACATAGGTATGCTGGTGAGGGGGACTGGATACAGATGAATCTTGTTGCTTTAGAGCTTGTAAACCTGTTTCAACTCCCTGGTCTAAATGAACTTAGTAGAAATGTTGGCAGTACACTCAGGGAAACGCATTCAGGAAATACATTTGTTTAATGAGCGCTAGTTGTCAAGGGAGCTCCTGTTATTAGGAACACGATACAGCATCAGGGCAGATTCATATGATAATAAAAGCTTTTGACTAGAGAGATAACCAGGCATTGATCTTAATTGACTTCCCATGTGTGGTTCAATTCCAACTTCCATCAAAATCACACCCCACGCACCATGATGAACTAGGCGGTTATGTTTAACTACACTTCAGTGCAACCCAGTATTTAAAATTCATTAACATCGCCATGATGCAATTGGAATTGAGCACACATCAGCTCTTCTTGGGAGTCAAAGTTATGTCTGGTTCTGTATAAAGAATGCTGAAAATTTACTCTTTGGCTTAGTTGGCTATTATACTAATTACAGAGAAATATATACTGGTGAGTAAATACAAAAATACCCTCAGGGTCTAGACTTTTGTGCCATTTGTACAACTGAAAGATACATAAAAGCCTGCAAATGTTTATCACAAATCTAGTTAACTTTTTCTGCCCTGTCTCAGCTGGTATTATATACAAGCCTGTGGGCACATCTACACATTCATTAATGAGCAGTGCCTCTGAGCTTTAAAGTTGAGTACATGCAAAAGGAAGTACTCAATAAACGTGCAGTAGGCTGCTCTACTGTGCATTAACCTAACAGCACGGTTTTTGCTGTGACGCTGCAATGCACAGTTAGCCTACTGCACGTTAAGCATCTCATGCAGACGTGCCCTGTATTAAGGAATGATCAGAGTGCCATATCGTATCCTGATGGGGCTTAATCAGCTCATTGGGAAGTTTCATGCCCCAGTACAAAATTAAATAATTAAAAAGGTCCTATTTTTAAGGTATGCAGAGGGGCTCCTCTGCATGTACTCAGAAGGACGCAGAGGAAGTTTGCTACTTCATACAGCAAGTTGCTGTGATGATTTTAGGCAAGCTGGCATATGCACAGCTGGGAAAAGTAGGGGTTGAATTCATCCATTCCACCATGGAAAGTTCAGTACCACTGACTTAGTCAATGTGCTCATCATACCTCGTTAACAACTTGTGTAATCAAAGGGATGGGGGAGAAGGAAGGAACACTACTTTAACAAGCTACTTATTTCTTAATGGCCTCAAAACCTTTCACTTACGTAGGCAGCAATGATTTTTGTGGGCCAAGCAATAGTACCAGAAGACATTCGGGAACTGAAGAATGCCTACTAACAGAAAGTAAAATAATGTATTTGGGGGCCTCGAGAGACATCTCTAGAGCAAGAGTCCAAGTACCGAATACCCCACTTCCAGTACTTCAGTTTGTCAAGGATGTAATTTTAGCAATGTCTGCCAGGTGCCAGGTGGAGCAAATATGTGTGGTTAAACAGCTGCCAGGAAAAGGTGAAGCAGCAGGTTCATACATTCTGATTACGCGGGCCTGGGCTGAACAGCATCGAAACCAGAACCATGTATGTACGCGCACCTCTAAATGCAAAGCTACCACTTTGCAGACTCCTGCCATAGGACAAGGAAGGGACTAGATTTTTTAATGTTGCCTCAGCCCACACACAGAGCACCGTGCGTCTTAAAAGTGTCTTATTATGGGACTGCATTTGATACAGGTATCAAATATTTAATATTCAGTGTTAGAATGAAAGAACACCCCCCAACAAACCCACATATGCCAAGATGTTTTCCACAAGTAATTTGGAGTGCCATAAAGACAGCATTCACATTGGGCATGTCTACACAAGACACTTACTGCACATTAGCCTAATAACCCTGCGCGGTAGCACATCACGGCACAAACCGTGCTAACAGCCTCCTGCGCAGTGTTATTAGGCTAATGCGCAGTAAGCGTCACTAAATAACTCTGCTACTGCATAGTAACTCTAGGTACTGCACATTTAGTTTAGGACTTTATTAAGGAAATACTAAACTAGATGTGCAGTATCTAAGGCGCATTAATGAACATGGAGATGCACCCACTGAAGTGGGTATCTGCCTCATGATCACCGACTGGCATGAAGGTTTCTTCTACCACAAATGTAGAAACCTTAAAAGATTATGCTGGGTCAAGTTTTGTTGGTACAATTCAACTGACTTTAGTGGTTTGTATGTACAGAGACCATTAAGATCTCATTAAGATGTCAAGTAAAAATTTATGCTGACAAAAAGATTAAGTTAGTTTCTCCTAGGTTATACTGTTTAGTTTATTCTGTATTTTACTCAGGCGGGATAATGAAGCTAGACCCGTGGGTTTCATTTTCTGTTTCCAGTTAATACCACTTGGCAGGCCTGCTTCAAATGCTTTGGGTTTGCAACACAGGGGGAAGGAGGCGGAAGGAGAGATTCAAATCACAGTTAAAAGTGTATGCCCATCATAACAATTAACCAATAGTTAGAGGCCGCTTTGAGTACATATTAATGACCTAGCTTACTGGCTCACTGTAGGTCAGTGAGATTAAAAAAAAAAAAAAAAATTAAGATGGACACACTGAATAGTTAATATCAGAAGAGCAAACCCTACTAGTGTTATGTCACACGTATCCAAAGTCTGAAGGGTCAAGCTTCAAGCTGATTAAAACACACTTTGAATGCCAACTTCAACCAAGCACACGCTGAGCGTTAGTATTTCCGGCTTTTTGAACATAAGCTTGGATTAGTGAATCTGAACAGTTTCTTAATAGCTTTGTCATTTAATAATATACAAGCCACAAAATATACAAGGCTGACATGACCTAAATTAATTGAAGTAAATATTAGAAAGGATTGTGCCCATTGCATCAACCAAAACTTGAAGTCAATCAAATAGTGTTTGGACTCTGCCTATGGACGTACCCATCTGACCTCAAGAGGAGGGGGACAAAGCCCTCAGGAGTTGATGGCTGTTGCCTGCAAGATTTCATCATCACATCTGGGTCTTCAGCTCTTGGATAAAAGTCATCATTTTACTACTGGCCAATAACTCCTAGAATATTGTTTGTTTAAATATAAATGTCATAATTTTGTTTCAGTTAGTCTTTAAACGATCATTCTGTGGCCGGGGTGCAGTTTCTGTTTTGTTGCTGCAGACGCAGCCTTTAAACAAGTTAACAAGTCCCATTCCCAACATTAGGCAATCATATAGACTTTGTCCTTCTTTCAGGGGAAGCAGCCACAAATCAAGTTTCGAAGGCCCTCTTGCCACTACAAAGACCAAATTTTCATGCTGTAGGCAGGGCCTAAGCAAATATAACACTCAAATCGAAAGGTCGATAGTGCGGTACAAGTTGTTTTCTCTCTACAGCAAGTTATAGTCCTCAACTCCAAAATAACCTCCGATGTCGTTTACGTGATGTGATTTACATTTGCTGAATTTTAAATCAGGAGGAAAGAGCATCTCTCTAATTACCAGGATGCTTTCAAAGAGCCTGCCAAGAGACTTAATTGGTCAGATCAGACAGAAAAGCCAAAATGCTAAGACACCTTGTTTATTATCAGGGCCCTATCCTGGAAATCTGGAAGCCAACAGAGCAGGCAAAGAGTAAAATCAGAACTAGTCTGCCACTTTCTCTTCTTGAAACTAAAAGAGGATCTTGTGCTAACATATGTAGTAGAGAGTATGCAGCATGCAAGATTATATGAAGTAACACTGATTAGAGAGGGAAGTTCCCCATACAGATGCAGGAGAGGCTGACTTTGATCAACCCTAGGCGGCTTTTCCTTTCTTTCAAATCAGAAATCCTCAACTAAAAGCAATGCATCTGACCTTTAACTAGCACAACTCCTTCTACTGGCTGAGCTGTAGGTTGCTAGAAGGGTGGTTTTCTAGTTAGTAAAAAGGCAACTGCCCCACTTACAGCTCCAAGTCCTGATAAAATGTGATATATTGACTGCTCAAGCCTGCACGGGTGCTAAGGTAAATCCACAGGAGTGGGGAAGTGGCCTCTCTGAAAGCTTCAAGGGAGTCATCTTTTCTAAGCATGTGCAAACCAAACCCACTGGAGGAAACAGTGATTTGCTAGTATTCGAAGGAAGGAAGGAAGTGGGGGATGATGTTGTTTTAAGGACCCCAAGTGAAAACATGCAGATCTGGGTTACCAATTGGGCCAGTCCCTGAATGGCGATATTTTTCCTTAAAAATACCATGTGCTCTGTGTTTACAAGAAGAAAAAAGCATTCCTATCCCGAAAGCAGTTTTTGGCTATTTTTCAGGAATAGTTCTTAAAAGCTGAAAATATTTAGAAAGAAGGTTAGTTTAAAGGAGGGGGTGCCAGGATTACTATGCATCTAGATATGCAAAGCATGGGCAGGAGGAGGAATTATTTAGGCTGGTTGGTTCTGTATATGCAGTTGTGGATAATGGAAGACAGTTAAGAATAAAAACCAACAACAACAAAAGGGAAGATTTTCCCCGTGGGGCCATCTGGAAAGTACCTAGATGATCAAATACTTTGGTAGTAATCAATAGAGAAGTGTGTTAAGCAGTACATACATCTCACCATTGGAGGAAAGGTGTTAATAGCCTGTCCTGGCAACAGATGAAGCAGCTGAGAAGGTGAGATCCGAAACGGAGGGCAGCAAGACGGCAGTCCCCAAATATCAGCAGGGACAGAGATGTGGAAAGGCTTGAGTGCCAAGGGGTAGCTCTGCTTCCTAGACCCTATGATCTTTTGTCACGAACCGTGTGGCCTTACCTTGTTGTCCCCTTCCCTGAAATCAAACCACCCCGGAGAGACCGAGCGAGGAAGCCACTTCCACCTAAACTTTCTACGTGCCCTCTCTGCACATGCAGCAAAGAGAACGTATGCTATTTATTAAATGTGAGTGCCAGCTATCCAATCAGCTAAAGACAAGTAAGATCATTTGAAGGCAAAGGCGGGTGCAGCGCTTATCAGTCTTATCATAACACAAACCATCCTCTGCCGTTTGGCCTACATGCAGCCGTATTTCTGCCAGTCACAAGGTCATGCGCAAGCATTGAAACCACCCCACGCAGCAAGTTCAGAGAATAAGCAAGTCCACATCAGAAACAACATATAGCAAGTGTAAGACTAACCCAGGAGACCTAGAAGAGGAGAAAGAAATGCAGTACCGCTCATTAACTACGACAGTACGGGAAATGCATCAAAAGAGTCTACTGATTTCAGCACAAAAGAGTGCATCTGCATGTAATCCAACCCATTCCAGTAATTGAGTGATGGAGACTAATTCATTGGAAGCAGGCGATTTGTAGCAGTGGGATGACCCACAGGAAAAATCCCAAATGCCAGATCTAACACTATCATACTTTATGGAAGTTCCCCTCCAAATGTCTGAACTTGGCCTCATTTTCCACCCCCTGCATACTACATACATCATCATTACCCCTGCAATGTAGCCCCTTCTCATAGGCAAAATGCTTAACAGTTCACAGAAGTAAATTAGGAAAAAATAAGATCTCTCGAATTGAAACTATACGTGAGGTTTGGTTTGGTTTTTTAAAGGAAGGAGACACGGAAAAACAGCATTCCATCCTTTCTATGGAAAACTCCTTTGTTTATTCTTCAATTACTGATATGATATAAAGAGTAAAAGTTACTACCTAGTGTTCACAACAGACACGCTCTTTTGGTCCTCAAGGTATGGTTTACAGCCCAGTACTCATGATAAAAATACACTTGTATACACACACATGTATTTCACAACAGGTCAGAATGTTTGGATATGGACTATTATATATCTATCTGATCTGTATGATTTGAATGGACTATTATATATCTATCTGATCTATCTATTGATATCTATCTATCCATCCATCTATAGTTAGGCAATGATAGATAATAGACAGATAGTCTATCCCAGTAAACCTGACATGGGGCTACTCTTTCTCCAGGAAAATTTTTATTTTACTGGAACAAGCACAAGCTGAGCGGCAAGGGATGTTTATAATCTAATCTCAGGCCAAACACAAAGCGATTCTCGATTCTCAATCCGATCCTTTTTAGGACAGCACTCAGTATTAGCCCTGTTAGGTGTAGAACACACACCCAACCATGGTTCACGGGATGAACCCAGAGATTTCAAATAGGAATCTATAGGCTCACAAACATTCTGGTCTGAGTTATTTGCAACAAAGAATTACTTGGTTGTTTCTCTGTAGTTAAAAGAAAAAACCCCCCCAAAAAACAAGGAGTAATAGCCAAGAGCCTGCATTTTCCAAGGGGTGCTCTGAGTCTAACAAACCAAGCTGAGAACCACTGCTCTGCTCTAGCCCTGGCAAATCACTCCTTCCCTTGTGGTACAGCTCTCCATCTATGAAGTGGGAATGCCAACACCCTTCTTGCAGGATTAGACGATGCATACAGTGCTGGGAAGGCAACACTGTAATGAGAATACAGGCTCACTTTGTCATTTCATAGAGTTCAGAAGGAGGACATGACATACCAGGACGATTCTGGCAATCTTTCTCCTTTTTCTTTTTAATTGGTTCTCCATAACAGATTCCACTTTCTCTTTGTACCCATAAAGGATCAGTGGACTTTCAAACATAATTGGAAGGACCAGATTTTAAATCAGAAAGTTTCTTCCTTCTCCTGTTCTTACATAAACCATCTCAGAATGCCAGGATTTAGGACAAAGTGACTGGAATGGCTGGGGAAAAAAAAAAAAAAAAAAATCACAGTACTTGTAAAAGTTAAAACAAAGCACTGCACTTTTTGGCCCAGAAGCCTAGTATGTGCATCATGCACGCTTCCTTTGCTCGGCTATAATCATGTAACTGGTTTAGAATGATTCAAGAGTTTCTTTACATGTGTCTACACCTCTTTTTAATGGAATAAATGCCAAGCACACCTTGCTGTTTGTCCTGTTTAGCTCTTCGATTTTAGCTATTGTCATTACCTGTATTACACTCTTGCCAAAATCAGATAAGCCATTTCTACTCTAACCCACTTACAGCTCCCAACCAGCAAACGGGAAGCCTGCAAATAAGGAAAAGCCAAACAGGACGGATGCATCTTGTACTACACACCCAGTTAGGGACCAAACTTCAGGTCTGGAACTGGTGGCTCATTCAAGCTAAAGACAATTTCCAGTCCTCCTTCAGGGAAGTTCACCATCTGCATAACACACACTTAAGTGCACCCTGTTCCCTCCGATAGCTGGTTCACAAACTGCTGCTGCTACCCTGAAGGAATTGGAGTTTTTAAATAGTATTTAGGGCACATGACCTTAACCTAACTCCTGTTGATTTTGAAGGGAGTTTGTGGCTTGCATTTCTTGAGCGCGCAGGGTGGACAACTCTGCCTAAATTGCCGAATCAAACATTTTTGGTACCCACTGATAATCCACAGAGCTGGTTGTTGCACCACTCCCTGCTGGTTTTATGTCAGAGAAAGTGGCTGATTCCAGCTGATCTCAGCTGTTATAAAAGGAGACGGGGAGGAATAAGGCTGTCAATGAAGAGGTGTCCAGTTCCAAGTAGTGACAGTCAGATTTGTTGGCTCCCACCCATCACAAAGTCTCAATCTAATCCCAGTTGAAATGTTTTGTTCCAAATGAACTAAGAGCTTCCCTAATGCAAAATGCCAACTCAGCAAGATATAAGCAGTGTTTATTGTTTTGTAAATCTGCCCCCACCATACTTACGCAATTTCACTTTTTAGCACCACAGATGGTGTTTAGTGCACCTGAATGAGCAAGGGGCAATTATTTGGACGCACAGTCAGCTAAGGACCTGCTTGCAAAACTTAATAGCTGTTTTGCAATTGGATGGCAAAGTGTGTGCAGACATGATGAATATTCTGTGGTTCAGAAGCAGCACTTTCCAAATAAAATGGAGGTCAAATATAAATAAAAGTTGTTTCAATGAGCGTTATTCCAGGAAGTGGCAGACAGTACTTGCTGATGGACAAAGAGGCTTTTAGGAATAAAAGAAAGGTTTAAAAAAAAGTGACCAGAAATAGTCACCCAGGAATATATATTTAAGGATTAAAAAAAAAACAACTCAGTAGCAGCGAGCACTCAAGTGCTCTAAAACTTGTCAGAGACTGGGAACACAGCACAGCAGCTGTTTACCTCCCCTTCCCAAGGCCTGATCCTGACCGTCACAGTCCACAATTAGAACTGCTGAAATCAGTAGGAAAACAGCAGTAAAATCTGTCTCGAAGCCAACCATCTATCTTAGTGAAGGCAACAAGTCTTTATAGTGGCAACCAGTTGCAGGTGTGCAAAGCTGCCAGGTCAAATAAGTCCTTCCCCAGCCGTGGCTATAGGCCACCAAGTGTTACTACCTGATTTTAAATATACTTATCACCACGCCGATAAACATTTGCGCTTTCCAGCGGCATCATGAACGCAGCAACTATTTCATTCGTGTTATTCCTACTTACAGAAGATAGGAAGGCATTGCTTGCTGCCTATCTAAGAAACCTGTGTGAATCGGGGAGTCCCATATGATGGTCCCTGCTGCAATAAACACCTGCAAGGACAATTTGAAAATGTCGTTTTATGTTATCTTTTGTCCTGGATCGAAAGCATAGTTTTTGCTAGTTTAGATACCATCTAGAACCGGCTTGACAGTCATCTCATTACCTGCCTGTTTTCTGTCCCATAGGTTGCTTCCATGCCACCTGGACACTTTTTTGGAAGCAGGAAGTGGGCTGGTCTTCCTTAGACCCCAGGAGAGTTATCCTTTCACTTACGAATGGGAAGGAGCCAGGCTCTCAGGAGGGTGATCTCTAGCTGGGTTTAAAACCAAACTCTCCTTCTGCAATCAATCAATCAATGAGGGCATGAGACAAGAGCAATGCAACCATTTTGGTTTTTTAAGGTGGGGGCCAAATTCAGTCCTTCACGGGTAACAAGTGACTAACACAAGTTTAGTCAAGGGGTGCGGCAGCATTGCCACCCTCTGTTTCAGCCATGTGATAAACCTGTTGGCACCCCAAATCTCTTACGGGGTGGGGTACTGATCCCCTGTTCTTTTTACGGTTGGCGTAAATCAGACAGACCCCAGTACTCAGCCACCCACTAAGTGGCCCCCCATTCAGGGCAAGGGGGATAAGTGGCACGACTCCCTTTGCCAGAAATACCGCTGACCGATTCCCATTGCCTGGGATTCTCCCGTCTTGGCCTCTTACCGGGACACTGCTGCCCGTTCTCTTGGAAATGGCAGGACCTCATGGCTGTATTTAATGAATCACCCATTGCTATTTCTTGATGGCGGAAGGGGGTCGGAAAAGACTGCCCCATCACATACAAGATCCCTGTAACTTGCAAAAAAAGGAAAACACCCAGATTCCCTGTGCACAGGGAGGCCTCCCCCTGGGGAGAGGGGATCAGAGGGAAGCAGAGCGCACCCACTCACTTGGTCTGCAAAGTCCTCAGCGGTGCTCATCAGATCATTCTGGCCCATGGTCTCAGCTGCAGGGGGGATTGCTCCTGGTTGGGTGTCCAACACAGCCCTGCCTTGCTGCTGCAAGCGCTGCAGGAAGTGGCTCTGCTGCAACTCAGGCTGCTGCTCTCTCCTGCTTCTGCCACGTAGGCCAACTCTTAAAGGAGCCGCACGAGCAGCAGGAAGATCCCTGTGCAGGCAGGGAGGGAGGAGACTGCCTGGCCCTGAGTCCCGATGTGAGCTTTCCTCTTTCCAGCATGCGTCTGTCCCTTCTCCGAGAAGCCCTGCCATAATAGCAGGGCATGGAAGGAGGAAGGAGGATGTTGCATTGCAAACCATGCAAATCACCTACCCGAAATTGGAAGCTGATTTTGGGCATCAGTTTGGTGAAACTAGATTGTGCCGCTGCAGGGGCCTGAGCGGGGGGAGGCGTTTTATCGATACCCCCTCAGCCATTGCGCACACGCTCATGCGTGGATTTTTGTTTGGCAAAATCTTGTATCTGGGTATTCTTGTTATTCATCTCCAGTCTCGGTTGGGGGTTGTCCTGTGCCCCCTCCCCATGACAGAAGGGCGCTTTGACCTAATTTCATGAAGGGTGTCTACAGGGTTACCATACATATGGGTTTTCCCAGACGTGCCCTCTTTTTCGTGTCCTGGTGGGTTTTTTAAATGTGAACAAATGTCCAGGTTTTTGCTTTGCCTCTGCTTTCCTGAGCAGAGCTGGTGGGGCAGGGGCTTAGGAGGGGCAGAGGCAGGGCATGGGCATATCACTGCCCCTCCACCATCATATTCCCCTCCCTGCCACAGGTGTCCTTGTTTTTGATCCTGGAAATATAGTAACCCTACATGCATACTAAGTTGACTTCAAATAAGGTGACTTAACTAAGTCAACTGAAATTAAGCCATGTCGGAGCATATGCACATACGAATCCTTGCCATAATGGCAGCTATCTCATGAGCTAAGTCGACTAATGCGACTCAAGATAATACAGCTTGGAGATGTGTTATCTCGCGCTGTATTTAAGTCAGCTCTGCACTGCATACACGTGTACACTCTGACAATTAAGTCAACTTCAAAAAGTTCAGTTGGTTTAACTGTCAGGAAGGTAGTATGCGTGTACGCACCCTCAAACTTCCAGTGTGCAAGATGGGGTGAGACGGGTGGGTTGGTTTGTGTTGGGATGTGTTCATCTGTCAAAAAATGGAGGCAGCTGCATAGTATGAGGGTTGATGTGACTGTACGCTGCAGCACTGGCAACCCACTGGATTTTGCTGAAAGATACACAAGATTTGGTGATCTTTGTTCTCTCGGTTTCTGGAAACGCATCATTAGGAGAGAATTGCAGCTTGCTTTCGTTCTGTTTTGTTTTGTTTTTTTTAAGGGAGGCAATTTCTAGTCTTAATCATTACAGAGAAAACATTGAAAATGTGACCTACCAGAAGGCAAGGAAAATGTCCCCCAGATGTATTGTTTGCCTCTTTACATCTTATGATTTCTAAGCCGATCTCCTGATTTCTTTGCGGCTTTTCAACATCTGGCAATGCTGTCTTCATGAGATCAGCACGGGAAAATACAGCGCACTCCCTGAAGTTATCCTTGCTGTAAAACCAAGCTGCCCTCTTCTCCCTTCCCAGTCTATTTTTCTAAATCCAGGCATATGCTGATCAACACCTATTATATGTCTGTTTTTGAGCCCAGTTCAGATTTACCCAAGAAGGCCACATTAGCATGGGTTAGAGGGTTTGCAAAGACAAAGGCTGCACGAAAGGATGTTTTACACTGAGGCTGCGTGTGTCATCAGTGGTCTCACCACAGTACAGCTATTATTTCAGAAACCAATGCTGACAGTCCACAGGGAAACAACCTCCACCAAGAGCAGCCCAGCAGTTGACTTGCCAGCATCAAATTCAGTAGAGATTATGGGTAGCCAGTTCCCAGCTAGTGGTAGGAAGTCACTCCTGTACCTATAATATAAGCTCCCTCCACTGTCTATTCAGCAGCAGAGGGGTGAGGCAGGCTTCTCAGAGGTCTCGGAAGGTTTGCTTCCCCATGCAGAGGTTCGGCAGCCAGTGCTAATCACCTGCAAATCAATATGAACCCATCAGGCCATGCAAGTTGAAATGCTGACGTATTCATAAGGAGAGGGCAGCAACTGCAGGTTTCTCCATGTCTCGCTTCTCTGCCCCGTGCGCGTCTTCCGTATCCTGCGCTCTTGCATGTTCCTGTAATGTCCGAAGGACTTTCCAGAGTCTCTCTGATTGAAGGCTACGCATCATAAAGATTTGGGGCTCAGTCAGGAGCAGCTCATTCAACAGATCCATGGTTCGAACTCACAGCTACAAATGCACCGAACAGCAGTCTGCGAGCTAACAGAGCCACCGTGTAACAGCCTGCAAAAATAACTTCTGGTCTTGGGGCAGTTCAGGAAAGGCAAGTAGTTTCACACTATACCACACGTCAATTCGTACACAGGCTTTTCCTCCGAATGATGCAGAGGAGGCTGGGATAAGCCTCCCACATATCCCAGCACAGTGCAAGACTGGGTGGTCAGGTCTGGCTCACAGGCGAGGCACTTGAACATGCTGATACCTGTCTATGTAGACATCCCGATTCTCACAATCTTGAGAACCAAACAATGGCTTGCTTCGGAGCTGAGAAATCACCCCTGGAAAAGTCTGTCTCCTGGAGCTGTGCTATTATATGTAGGTTTTGTTTGTCCCTGAGCTTGTCTTCTTTGCATGTTTGTCAGGAATGTCATGTTGTTTAAGAGGGCATTGACAAAACGATCCTCAGTATTTGGGGAATTGTTTCCCTTCCATGTTGTTTAGAAGTTTCCCCTCCCCTTATGCGCTATAATATTTTGGTGGTGGTGGGTTTTTGGGGGGTCTGTTTTTAAAGAAAAACGTGTTGTATGAAATGCAGCATACAAAAAAGATGCGGAGAGGAGAACGAAGCTCCAGGCCAAATGGCAGATGGGCTTCGTGCACACAATAAAACAGCAAATCAGCACAAGCGCAGAAACTCCCAAATAAGCACAGAGAGCACCCTGATCCTGGAGGAGTCATAGTCCTTTGGTAGTGTTCACAAAGGGTTATTTTGGTCAAAATAAAATTCTTCCATCAGCTATCTCACTGCCTGTTGCTATGTATAAAGAAGCTCAGTGAAAAGACCAAAATCTGACCCTGTGAAAGCTTATGCAAAAATGTTATGCTTTATGGAGACCCCACTGCAGTGAGCAGAACTACTTGCAGTGCACGAAGTACAGGCTTAAGTCTTGGCAGGGCTGGGTCCTAATTGACACAGAAGTCCAGATCAATTTTTAATTGTTTAACATTTTTAAACGTGATCTTAACTCACACCGTAATACTGTGATGCATTTCATACAAGATTCTGTAAGTAGATCTCTACCATTGATGCAGGATTACATGGGATTTCTGGGGGTGCTCAATGACTGATCTCATTGTATGGTCTATGCCCTGTAGAGGAAACCTTACTGTTGTGCTAGAAGTTGGGCGCCTTCCTCTAAGGGACAGCTGACAGTGGGAAGCCAGGGTGCTGTGCAGAGTGCTTGCCAGGGAGAGGCTTGGAACCGCAAGGCAGGAGACTGGCTCCTTGCTTTTGATGTCTATTATGGTCAGGGAAACAAGCCGCGAAGGTTGTAAATTGGTAGTTCTCCACCCTTTTAAACTCTAGGCCCCCCTGGACAGACTTGAGGCACCTCTGGATTGACACACGGTCCTCTGGACAGGCATCAGAGCCTCCGGGATAGACTCAAGGCCCCCCTGGATAGTCTCGAGGCACACCTGGACAGGCAATGAGAGCCCCCTGGATAGACCCCAGGCGCGTCTGGATTGACACAGGGCCCTTTCCATAGGCAGGAGTGCCCCGGGGTAGCCTCGAGGCACGTGTGTCTTGGCGGAGACCCCTCTTCCCGGGCAGGCTCGAGGCACCTCTGGATTGACGCAGGCCCCCGGCGAGACGCGAACCCCCCGCTGCGCCGGCCCGGGCCCGGCCTCCCGCTCCCGGGCCAGCGCG